CTGTCTGGGAGACAGCTAAAGGCCATAAAGAGATTTCTTTAACAGACAAACATAATCAGGATTAACAGAATCAACAAAGCCTTCAGGTTGAGACATGAAAATTTGCTTATCAAGATCACCATGCAGAAAAGCAGTTTTAACATCCATTTTCTTAAGTTCTCAATCAAAGTGAGCAACTAGAGCAAGTAAAATTCTGACAATGGTGAATTTCACAACAGGAGCAAAAATTTCAGTATAGTCAATACCCTCTCTTTGTGTAAAACCTTTAGCTACAAGCCTAGCTTTATATCTAACAGAATCAGATTCATGCTTAATTTTAAAGAGCCATTTACATTCAATCACAGAGCACTTACTAGGTTTAGGGACAAGAGTCCAAGTATGATTGACATGCAAGGAGTTAATTTCCTCTTTCATAGCAGATAACCACATAGTAGATTGAGAAGAGTTTAAAGCATCTTTGTAGCACTTAGGTTCATTACCATCTAAAGCATCAAACACACTGAACACATAAGATGCAAGCTGAAAATTATCAAGATGATGAGGTTTCCTAATTTCTTTTCTAGGTCTATCCCTAGCAAGTTGATAATCATGCAAATCATCAATATCAGGCAAATCAGACTCAACATTTTGATCAAACACATTTTCAGGCACATAGGATGAATCATCATCATCATTCTCAATTTCCTCATTTCCAATAGGAGATTTATCCACCTCAATTGGAGCAGAGGGAGGAACAATAAATGAAGGCACATGTAAACAAGGATATTCATTCTCATTGAAAACAACATTTCTACTAATGATAGTTTTAAAACCATGTTCATTCTTTAGCCAACATCTATATCATTTTACCCCTTCAGGGTATCCAATAAAAACACATTTTATGGACCTAGGTTCTAATTTATCAGATTTATGGTGAACAAAAGCAGAACATCCAAAAACTCTCAAATTAGACAAATCAACTGGTTTCCCAGTCCACATAGTTTCAGGCAAATTTCCAGACAAAGGCACAGATGGAGATCTGTTAATCACATAAGCAGCTGTTAAGACAGCTTCACCCCAAAACACTTTTGGTAAACCAGATGCATGCAACATGGATCTAACCCTATCCATTAATGTCCTATTCATTCTTTCAGCTATGCCATTATGTTGGGGAGTAAATGCAACAGTCCTATGTCTTCTAATGCCAAACTCAGCACACAAAGAATCAAATTCATGATTGCAAAATTTAGTGTCATTATCAGTTCTAAGGGTTCTAAGTTTCTTGTTTGTTTGATTTTCAATAAAGGTTTTCCAAGATTGAACTTATCAAAAACATCAGACTTTTGAGCAAGTAAGAAAACAAACACTTTTCTTGAAAAATCATCAACAACAGACAAGAAATATCTGTTTCCACCAGGTGTGGAGATAGGTGCAGGACCCCAAACATCTGCATGAACATATTCAAGGATTTCTGTGCACTTAGAAGTATTAGGGAAAGGGGATTTGGGGAATTTCACTTTAGACTATTTACCCATAACACATGAGTCACACAAAGGCATATCAACAACAATGTCACCACTCAGATAGTTGTTTTTATGCAAAATTCCTAGTCCCTTACAACTGATGTGACCTAATCTTCTATGCCAAATATCAGTCATGTCATGCTGGACAGAGTTAACATGAGAAACAGATAATGCAGATGCAACATACATATTGTGCATTCTAACTACCTTAAAAGAAAGCAAACCATCATGCATAATATTCATAACCCCATCACCCCAAGTACCCTTATACCCAGAATCCTCCAAGATAGCACAAGACATCAAATTGCTGCTAAGTTTAGGAACATGTCTCACATTTTTCAAATTAAGCACAAATCCAGATTGAAATTTCAGACATACAGTTCCTATACCTAGCACATGTCTTTTACTACTATCAGCCATGGACACTGACCCATTTTTCAATTTAACATAAGAAGAGAACATGCTTTTGTGAGGTGTCATATGATTTGAGCAAGCAGAATCCATTAACCAGTCATTATCAGTCAACAGTAGTATAATCCGTAGCACGAGTCTGCAAAGAACAAGTGCCCAACTGATGCTCTGATACCACTGTTAGGTACAGGTTCTTTCAAAATCAGCCATAGATCCGTAGAAACGATTTAGAACAACTGAAAAGAGAAATAAATCAATATATTGTAAAAAAACGGCTCAGTTCCCTTTTCCAGTGTTCATACAGTCGATCCAAAGTCTGGTGGTAACACCAACTGAAAACAAGCATCAAGCAACAGCCACTGATCCAAAACCCTATATCTGACCCCCAATCCTCACTCTGAGTTGAATCACCAACACATGCACAGTCAACTCAGTGGATAACTCACCCTCTCCACTCAGCACAAACCCAGATTTATGCACTCAAAGTACCGAAACCCTCTGTTAAGTGTATATTTATACACTTAATTGTACCTTTTAATTGGAGCTTTTGATGTGTTTTTACGATAATTGGTGCTTAATTTGGTTATTATTTGTATTTTAGGGACAAATTGAAGAATTGGAAAAGTATGGGGTCAAAACTGCAATTTTGGAGAAAATATGGGCCAAAAGTGAAAAAATCAAAATTCTGAAGATTTAAAGCTGGGACCCCCGTCCCAGTTTTAGTGCAAATCGTGGGACCCCCGTCCGAGACTCCGAAATTGCGCAGAAAAGGGATTTTAATTGCACAAGGAAACTGCCTTCTTCCCCAAGTTCTTCACCCTATATAAGACCAAGTCAGGCACACAATTAGGATTTTTTTTTTATCATCTATCTTTTACCTTTTATCTTTAATCTTTAGGTTTTTATTTTTAATCTTTCTACACGCAATCAAGGAGCACAAGAACGAAGACGAAGACTTGACGAATCTTCATCATAGTTCTCCTCTTTTATTGTTATTTATAGTTTTATGATTTTTCGTATTTTTATTATGTTTTTCGTAACGAACATGCGTAGCTAAGTTTTTAATCTAGGATTTTGTTGGAACCCTATGTAGGGATTGCGAACCCTTTTTCTTGAGATTATGCAATTATGATTTTATGATTATTTCTTCTACTTGTTATGATTGTTAGTGCATGAACTTGATCAATTTATGTGCTTTATCTGTGATTATTGGGATTGACTCGACAGAGCTATTTTGATAATTAGACGGTAAGTAGAAGAACCTTCGAGTAGTTTTCACCGGATGAGTGTGTCAATTGCATGTGGTGTCGTAGACATACAGATATCACCTTAGGTAGCCATTTACGAGACTTGTTAGTTAATGCTTTACTCATAATTGGTTTGCATAGACATATAGTGAAAAAATATGGGCCAAAAGTGAAAAAATCAAAATTCTGAAGATTTAAAGCTGGGACCCCCGTCCCAGTTTTAGTGCAAACAGAAGAGGATTAAGGTCATAAATGTCAAGGTTTGAGTAAAAGGTGAATCCCCCTTGTCTCTCTCTCTCACCACAGTATAAATACACGGAGTTTCAACGGTCTTCAGCATTAAATGTGCTGCGACGGCAAGGACACCCATTGTCCGGCTAGACCTGCGACGGTGTCGCCGGAAAACGACAATGGGTGACGAAACACTGTAGATAGAGAAGGGGACAAGGTGAAGAGAAAGAAACGGCGCAGCAGAAGAATGCTGATAGGGTTGAGAAAGATTAGAATAATGGGGCAAATGGAGGGCTCAGATTGAAACCCTATAACAAACGGTTCAGATCTTAATTTGACTGGATCAGTGGGCTTCGGTTGCATTGGGCCCAATTTCACAAGTTGGGCTGTATTTATTAAGAGATCGGCCCAGATCACAAGCAGATCATTTCTATTGGGCTCAAACTTAACAAACAGTAATATCACCGTCAACCACAGTAATATTACAATAATAGATAGTAATATTATTACGTTACTCCGTGAATAACTCAAACAAACAAACAAAAATCCAAACAAAATAATAATATTGATGTGGTTGACAACAATATTACTATAACAACAGTAATATTACCGTCAACCACAATAATATTATTGTGTTTACATTAATATTACAATAATAGACAGTAATATTATTACGTTACTCCGTGAATAACTCAAACAAAACAAAAAACCCAAAAAAAATAATAATATTGATGTTGTTGACAGTAATATTATTGTGTTTACAGTTATTTTACTCTCAACGACAGTAATATAATTACGTTGACTTGTCAACAAATCAAACAAAATAAAAAAAATAACAAAAAATAAAAATAATAATATTACATTAATTTACTGTCAACGGCAATTACATAAATGTATTGTTAACGGTAGTACAATTACGTTAATTAATTGTCATTACAGTATAATTACGTTAATTTACTGTCAGTGACAGCACAATTACGGTCAACGTTTAGCGGCGGACGTAAAAAAAATAAAAAATAAATAAAATAAAATAAAAAAGTCAACGCCAGAATCCGGCGGCAAAAGAAATTTGAAAAAAAAGAGTCAAAATTGAATTTTTTTTGTCAAAATTGGATTTTTATGGACAAAATTGATTAAATTAGGATTACAATTAAGAATTGGGTATAAAGTGTTAGGGGTAATATTGGCATATACATGAATATTTCCTTTATTTATAATAAATATTAGAGGATGGGCTTATTGGTGAAAGAGATATAGCCCCTAAACCTAGAATAATAAAGATACTTGGTTGGGAACTTATGCATAAAAACCCCTATAAAAATTAGTAATGATACTTAAAATTTGTCTTTGGAAAATTAATGATGGCGCAATAAAAAAGATGAAGTCCTTCATAAACTACAATATAAGGGCTATTTATGCAAATACATAAAAGAAAGGATATGAAAAAGCATTTTGTCCTCTAAATTATACATCAATTTGTACGTTACCCTTGCACAATTCTTTTACACACTATTATTGAACTCTATTAGTCATTTTTTAGCAAATTTTTCTTTTCAACCAAATATGTTACTAACACCTACAGTTTAACCCTTGTAACCGAAACAGACTCTAGGCACAAACAATACACACTATATTCACACTTGGCAAGAATTGTGAGCCAAGAAAAAAAAAATACATATTCAGAGTGTATTTTGAATTGCAGCATGAAAATAGGCAACATGTTAAATAGAGAAAGTAAAAAAAACAATTGAATCCATATCGAGTTGAGAGTTGAGAGTAATTGTGTAAAGTATTATTTGGTAATAGCAAGTTCAAGGGCATATATCCTTCCAGTTGAAAGCTTTTCTCATACTTCTCCTCCCAATGCCAATGCCTCCATTTCCTTTTCTCATCATTGCTGCAAATTCTCCATAGTCTATCTGTCCATCCTGTCCATCCATCATCCAACAACAACAACAATAATATTATTATTATTAATAAGACAAACAAACATTGCGTCTGCAAGTAAACCGGAGCAGGCCGAAAAGAAAAAGAAAAAGAAAATAGCTCACATTATTTTGATCAATCTCTCTGACCATCTCATCAAGATTAAGCTCACTCAGACCAAATTCTTTGCATGCTTGCACAAGTTCATCCATCGTTATGTATCCACTACCATCTTTATCAAAGAAAGCAAAGGCTGATACCAGATTATCCTCTCTTTCTAGCTTATTCAAGTGTACAGTTGCCGCAATAAACTCCCCATAATCTATTGTCCCACTGTTATCAATGTCTGCCTATATAGTAAATAACAAGTATCAATTTATGTTTAATTTTGTAATTGACAAATTTATTATCAAAAATATTTATATCGTGTTTGTTAAATCTTACTGCATCCATGAGATCTTTAATTTCAGACTCCATGAGGTCAGACCCTACGCGCCTTAAACCCTCTTTAAGTTCATCGAAAGTTATGGTCCCGCTGTTATCTGTATCTATCATTTTGAACAATTCCTTCAGACCACCTATTTCTTCTTCAGACAATCTCTCTGCAATCACCTATGTATCGTACGTACAGAAGAATGAAACATCATTTTGTCAGCTGACTATATTTACTATAACTGATCATATATTTTGTTGATGCATGTATTATAATATAGCAACTGAACATGGAAATTAATAAAGGATTGATCAAATTCAGCCGCTTACACGTAAAGCCATCTTCTTGAGCTTGTTCATTGCAGAGAACTGCTTGAGGCGTGATAGAACTGCAGAATCAAGAGGTTTATCAGGGGCCACCGTGTCATCAATGATCCATGGATGACCTGATAAAAAAACAAAACAAACAACAAAAGTTTTAACAATCATTTCATTTTGGCAAAACAAAAAAAAACAGATAATTAAATGAAAGTATTCTTACACAGGACTTGGTGTGCGGTTAACCTTGTCTTGGGATTTCTATCGAGCATTTTTCGTATCAAATCCTTGGCAACGTCTGAAATAGCAGGCCACGGTTCGGACTCAAAGTCCAATTTTCCTCTCAATATCTGGCGGAATATTCCCGGCTCAGTTTCTTCAAGTAGAGAAGAAGAAAAAGCGATGAAAAGTTGAGATAATGATGATGGTAGCTAGAGAATATTGTAAAGCAATTAATGAATATATATATATATATATATATAAATATGTACCAGCCCAGAAAGGAGGAACACCACTGAGTAAAATGTATAAAATAACTCCAGCACTCCATACATCTGACTCGGGACCATAAAGCTTGCACAAAACCTCTGGTGCAACGTAATAAGGACTTCCCACTACATCGCTAAAAGTTTCATCTGTACAATATTACAATATAGCCCGATTGAGTTTCATACAAATATATATATGCCAAATAACATAGTTTGCTTGGGAATTATATAATCTGACTATTATTTTCGTGTGTATAAGAAAATCAAACCCAAGAAATTCCCACAAATGTGAATTCTAGTACCACCAATCAACGAAGAAGCGAATGAATATACCCTTGAACCATTTCATTGTTTTTTTTTTCTTTCCCACTTAATCTTGATTTTTGTTATTTGGATTTATAGGGGAATTAAGAGTGAGAATGGAGAACAACATCGATCTTAAATGCAGATAAAAGATTTAAACAGAAATTAGGCAAAGATTAAAATTAAGAGTGAGAATGGAGAACAACATCGATCTTAATATATAATATATATATACCAAAAAGGCATGAGAAGAAAAAAAAGAAAAAAAAAAAAGGAGAGGGATTTTGAAAAGAAACCTGGTTTGTAGAAAACAGAGAGACCAAAATCAGTGGCCTTGAGGGCAGAATCTTCTTGTCCGCTGAGAAACAAGAAATTCTCAGGCTTAAGATCCCTGTGCATGACACCAAGAGAATGGCAAGATTCGACAACACCAACAATTGTCTTCATCAACTTAGCCGCCTCTTTCTCACTGTAATGACCCTTTTCAACAATTCTATCAAACAACTCACCACCAGCACACACCTCCATCACTATATGCACAAACAATGTATCCTCGTACGTGCCCTTTATTCTCACCACATTTGGATGCTCCGACAAATGGTGCATTATCTGAATCTCCCTCCACACATCTTCGTAGTCCTCCTTGCAGAACAGTTTCTTTTTAGGTATTGTTTTGCACGCACAAAGGGACCCGTTTGATTTATCCGTGCATAGAAACGTCGTACCAAATTGACCTTGCCCCAGCTTCTTTCCTATGCTGTACACACTCTGAAGATCTTGTGTTCTGTACGGGAGGACCCACTTTGTTTTTTGCGGATTATTTGCTTTCTTCATCTCCGACATGGTTGTGGCTTTCTTGATTTGATTTGTTAATTAACAAGAGAGAAGAAGAAGAAGAAGAACAACAACAACAACAACAACTGACGACTGTTTCTTTTATTTGTATTGCTAGCTGCAAACAAATTAAATGTTTCCGTTTCAGAAGTCAGCTCTTCTTCTGTGTGTGTGTGCGGACTGTTTGGCTGGAAAAAAGAAATGCTGGCTTTGATGTTGTATGAAGTTTGACTTTGACATTTATTTTGTTTTACCAGTTCAACTCCTCATTCAAATTAAAAAGTTTTGGAGTGGAGGGGCATTAATATCTATTTAATATTAGATAAATCACGCTTACATTAATTAATTAATATTAATATACTAGAAAAGTTTAATTATTTTTGCAGTCACCAATACCTTGGTCTTAAATCAACTGCCACTATAACCAACACTCATTAGGAGAGTTGGTACCTAGCCTTTACCAATAGGGTAATGGTCTAGGGTTCGAGTCCCCCCTCCCCTACTTCCCCTTGTAATGGACTTGAATTTACTCAAAAAAAAAAAAAAAAAAAACAACTGCCACTATCTATCTCCAACCGTTGAACATACTAATAAATTGTAGAAATATCAAACAAAATTTGACTGCTTCTACCAACGCCAAGGGGGAAAAAAAGGACTCGTAAAATACACATCAATCTTGACAAATGAGATGTCACCAGCTGTATTTTTTATTTTATTTTTGTTGGAAATCCATTTTTTGGTGAAAGCCTTCAAAGACGATTTAGAAAAAGTCAGCGGGGGCAAATCAGGACTCCCGCATTTGACTTTGATCTTGGTAATGTCATTTTTAATCTATGTAAATTTACTGAATTGAATTCATAACATGGATCCGAACAAGTTTGAATGGATTTAAATCGAATTGTTGATTACTAAATATTGGTCGAGTCCATATAATATGTTATCAGTAAAGATTCAATGTAGATTATTATTGTTGGTGGACTCAGAGTGGGCTTGCTGGGGATTGGGCCTAGATCTGTGGTATTTCTAGTAGTTTATATATGTGTAGAAATGACAATATGTTTGATTTTTGTGAGTTTTTTCTACGAGAGTACGTGCAAAAATAGAATATTATTATTATTATTATTATTATTATTATTATTATTATTATTATTATTAGGGTAAATTACAAAAACCCCCCTGAGGTATGGTCAAATTATAAAAACCCCCCTCTTGTTTGGATAATTACATATACCCCCCTCAACTATGATTTTTTCTTACACATCCACCCTTATTGTGCCAAATTCAATATAATCATCTAGATTTCGTGTAATGTGCTCTAGTTTGTATTCGTTTTGTGTAAAAATACAGTTTCCGATGCACTACAAACTGATTATACACAAGCTAAAAATCACATATTATGATCATCTTACTTCATAATGTAGAGTTTGAATGGTATAAAACGGGTACAAAATTGATAATATTTAATATAATCTCGAAGATTCCACTAAATTTGAAGAGCCGAGGGGGTGGTTGTAATTATCCAAACAAGAGGGGTGTTTTTGTAATTTGACCATACCTCAGGGGGTGTTTATAATTTACCCTTATTATTATCATCATCGTTGTCGTCGTCATCATCATTATTAGGAGAAGAGAAATTGGAGGATAGAGAAATAGGTTAGTAGGCATTAATATAGGTTTGAAAAGTGGAAAAATTATGAATAGTGTATTTCCATTAGAAAAATTGTTAAGAAAAATAGGTATTTCCAAGTGAAAATTCTCAAACAAAACGAAACATGATGTTGTTCCCTTGTTGGTCGGCTGGAAAGTTATCAGCTTCTGGGCTTTTCCTCCTCATGGGCCTATGGAGACTTATAATCTTAATTGGGCCATTTGGTTTAAACTATGAACATGATCAATATGGATCGGACCCAAATTCATATTGCCAACCCCGGCCCACAAAATTTACTGCCAGCTAGGAGCACGGCGTCGTTTGGATGACTTTATAAAATGCCACACGCTTTTTGGTTACCAATGGGGTTTATCCACGTGGTTTTTCTATTTTAGTTGAGCTTAGTTAGCGCTATAAATAGCATCTCTTTCCTTGAATTCAGTGTCGAAAAGCTGATTTTGTAATCTGGATTTCTTCATTAATTCTCTCTATGTTTCTGTTCTTAACACTTTACAATGATATATCTGCTGCAACACTAATAGTCCAATAGTATTCTAGTTAACAAGTATACGTTGAGGTGCAAACAATGTCCCACATTGGTTTAATATGGGAAAGATCTATGGTTTATATGGAGGGGATAGTAACTCCATTGGTATGAGGCCTTTTGGGGAAACCCAAGAGCAAAACCAGTTGGGTCCGGCCCAATCCGGACAATATCATACCGATGTGGAGTTTGTGCTATCCCGACGGGGCCCAACAGTGGTATCAGAGCCATGGCCCAGACCTAACCATGTGGTGGAAATTGCCGAATCCTCGGTGCCGAACAAAATGGTGAGCTCCCGGTGCGCAAATGAAGGCGGCTCGACGAGCTCCAGGTGGGAGGCTCGGTGGTGTGAGCCCCAGGCGCAAATTGAGGGGAGGCTCGGTGGTCCTTAGTGGAGGCTCGGTGGTGTGAGGATTGTTGAGGTGCAAACAATGTCCCACATTGGTTTAATATGAGAAAGATCTATGGTTTATATGGAGGGGATAGTAATGAGAAAGATCTATGGTTTATATGGAGGGGATAGTAACTCCATTGGTATGAGGCCTTTTGGGGAAACCCAAGAGCAAAACCAGTTGGGCCCGGCCCAATCCGGGGGCCCAACAGTATAGACGTGACAGATTAACTCTCCCTCTATTTTTTAAAACTTTATTATTGTAGAAAATCTCAAAGTCTGGAGGCCAACCTCAAATTAGGTGGAAAAAACAATGTTCATTAATTAATTGGTCATAAATTTGGATTGTGAAATCCATAGTCATTGTAGTCATCGGTGTCACAAAGTTCAAACAATGAACATACACAATGCTCCTACCAATTCAAGAATTTGGATTATTCATTATTAATTCCACACCCAAAAACAAAAATAGCTTACATTAGATATCTTGTTCATCTGTATATCTCCAATAAAATCATCATCTTTGCCATATATTTTCCCCTTTAGTAGAACTAATTGGCATTCTTCTTCATAACAAAGGTTTTGTTGAAATATAATTAATTAGGGGAAAATCTATACATACATACATATATATATATATATATATGACGGCGAACGAGAGCTCGTTAATGCGGCACAGCAGGAGGAGAAGTGGATATGAGCCGTCGGATACAGAGACGGATTGGCAAGAAGACAGGAGAGACGATGATGATGATGACGAAAGCATGACAATCATGACCAACAACAACAACAACAACAACCGTCCTCCTATGCAGCACCCAATCTCCAATAGGAGACACAACAGCACCAAGTCCCCATTTAAATCCAATATCAATAATATTGGTAATGGTAATGTTAATTCTCTTCCACGTAGAACTTATTCCGATAATAAATGTCGAAATCATAGTCCATTTTCGCTGTCTGAGAAGAGGAGGTCTTATGCTGATAACAGTAATTGTTGTCACTTTTTGGAATCTGAAACTAGGACTAGTGATCATCCTCCTCATCATCATAACCACACCAAAAACAACTCTCACCAAAATATTTCTCCATTCAAAACTAGTGTTGTACCAGATGATTTCAATAATCATGATGTTAGCTCCGGGAGGCAAAGATCAACTAGTACTTGTAAGAATAGGAGGGCAGCATCCGCTCCAAGATTCAGAGAAAATTTGCCGAATCATAATCAATTACTCCCTCCTTCGGTTGAAATATTAATGGTTCCACCTTCTAAAAATAATAATGGTCATTTCCATGACAGCATCGACTCCATTTCTCCAGGGGACATTTTCTTTTCAAAGGACTATATTGATAAAAACACCTTCATCAACAATGTTAAGACCACCACATTGCTCCCCAAGCCACCAGGTTTTCTTGATAATAGAACTAATAATTATAATAATCCTCGTCCGACCCTCAATCATCAGAATATGACTAGCTCTGTTGTGAGCAGACATAGTAGTAATATAAGCGAGTCTAGTGATAGGACAACTGCCAGTACCAGAAAGTTTGTAAATAACATAAGAAAGAGCAGCTCCCATTCTGACCATGCATGGTTCTCTTGCATCAACAAAGGTTCTTGCAAGAAATCAAATAAATCCCCAGAAAAAGACAGGCCGCCACCTTTCGATGAAGCTTCTTTCATTGGGAAGGCCGTTGTTGTTGAGAGCTTGAGACCATTCTGGGCCGATAAACATCAGCCAGCTTCACTCATTGGATTCATCTGCCACAACCAACAAGCTCACCTTCTCCACCAAATTGTAAGAGTCCCATCCCTAATTACAAGAAATTTGTATCTGTTCATTTATTAATTCATTTTGTTGAGGATTTCTTGTTAGGCGAACAATGATGTCTTCCCACACATCTTGTTCAAAGGACCACCTGGTACTGGTAAGAAGGCACTCACGATGGCTCTCCTCCGTGAGATATATGGCGATCCTGTCTGGAATGTATGTATGTCTTTTTGTTTTTCTCAACTAAAAATGCATACATAATCATGAGGGAATGCAAAGTTAAATTTGGACGGACACTTAATTAGCTGAAGCTAATTTTGCTTTGTTTTTGCATGCAGATCTCTCATGACTTACGATACTTCCACATTCTGGTACATATGTTCAATTACGATGGAAGATGAATTGATTTGATTAAAACATTTCCTAATTTTCTTGCATCAAAATTTAATGGATCATATGAACAGGAATCAAGGCCGATGCAAGTAGTAGTTCCTGTAACAACAAGTCCTCACCATGTGGAACTCAATGTATACTTAGAGCCTAAAGCAGCATATGCATTAACAGCTTTAGTCAAACAAATAAGCACTGAACGATCAGTCACACCTGAAATCAGTGTAGCTCCAAATAAGGCAGATTTTAAAGGTAGTTAGGTCATATATATCTCTGTAACAATTTTTTTTTTCTTGTTGGAAGAAATTATTGATCGATGTTTTGAGTATAACTGCAGTGTTGGTTCTATACGATGTTGATAAAGCCGCGGAGAACTTACAGCACCTGATAAAATGGATAATGGATTGTTACTCAGAGTGTTGTAAACTTGTACTTTGCTGCGAAGACGATGTAGATATCCTTGAATCGGTAAAGATCAGGTGCAAAGTTATTAAGGTCGAAGCTCCTCTAACTCATCAGGTAATGGAGGTGCTTGTCCAGATAGCAAAGAGAGAAGGTTTCGAGTTGTCAACGAGCTTTGCTGCTAAGATTGCTAACAAATCAAAGCAGAATCTTAGGAGAGCAATCATGGCACTTGAAGCCTGCAAATTACACAAGTAATATATTTTATAAGGGTAGTTTTTCTTTTAATTTTCTTCCCTATTCATGCATTCAATTTTCTAGCTATCCTTTTGTCGAGGACCAACCTATTCCAATGGGATGGGAAGAAGCAGTTGAGGAACTTGCTGCCGACATTTTAGCTGATCCTTTACCCAAGAGGTAACCACCTAGATAGCTTTTCATTCTCTATGTTTTTTTGTCAATTCTCATCATTTAATTAATTTTGGTCAGATTATTTATCATTCGAGAGAAGATTCAAAAACTTGTGACAGATTTTGTTCACCCTAAACTGATTCTGCTGGTAATGCTCGATTGAATAATGATATACATACATCATACATACATACATGTGGTTTATATAAATTAAATATTGGTTGGTTAATGATATTCTGCAGAAGCTGGTGGAACAATTCATAATTTGTGGAGTTGAGGCTAATTTGAAAAGGGAAATCTACTATTGGTATGCTTACTATGTAAGTTGTCTAATTTCTCTTGTGATGATTAAGATTTAAGAAGAAGATAAAACACAAATGAGTGATTGAAATTTGAAATGCAGGATAAGAGACTCCCAAGTGGAACAAGTGCCTTGCTCAAGTTACAAGGTAATTAATCATTAATGGCTCTCATCAAAAGTGTTTATATATATATATGCTATAATTAAATATAAGTATGTACGTTTTTCTAATTACGTTTTGTGTTTCGTGATCATCATATTCATAATCACTAATTTCATGAATACAAAATTATATATGCAGAGTTTGTGGCCAAGTTTATGAGCATATATAGGAAGAGTTGCTCAAATCGTCAATTCTGAAATCTGAATTTCTGCATTTATTTAATTAAACTCAACTGTTTGTCAAATCATCATACAGTATGTGTATACTCAGTTATTTCCACACAATTCATCCTGTTTATTACTCACTTTGTCTCCTCTTAATATTCAGACTTTTGTAAACGTCAAAGAAGGTATTTCTCATTTTGAAAGTTAATAACTGGTATTTCAAAAGAAAAACAAAAAAAAAAACAAAATTTCACAAAAATAATTTCAAAGCAATATTATTATTGAATGAAAGAAACTGTTGATATTTAAAAAAAAAAAAAGAAAAAAGTAACGTTCCAATGATGATTATTATTCATGACTCTGTTTTTGTTGTGATTATTAATATATAATAATAAATAAGTAAATAAAAAGGTGTAGGAGTGGATTCCACTCCACTTTCACTTGGAATGATGATTATTGAATATTGAAATGTTTGAATTTAACAAGGAATGATGGAATTAACAATATATATATAGTAGACAGGCATGCTTGCTTATCTTTAAGGTGTATGTATGTATATATATTATTAATAACCTGAAATTTATATTTACTAGTAATTGCTAAAGAGTGAGACAACATTTTGACAAGAATAAAGAACCATATCTTCAGTCCCAAAGAAAAGAAATAAACACAATGTATATATTTTTGTAAAGAAGCTTTGAATCTTGTCTTTCTTAATTAATTAGAGAGCATTTTTCTTTTATTTATTTTTTTCTTTTTGGAATACTTTGTTTGTTTTTGGGCACAGTTGTTGCAAAAAATGAATTAATTAATGAAGTTGTTGGGTGCATAAGCTGTTCCCATTATTCTACTATTACAAGTATGGGTAAGTGTAGCTCTCTCTCATCAAATCATCAAATCCAAAACGTGCACACCACTATCAAAAAAAAGACAATAACAATTGAAAATTATTTTTTTATTAAACAAGACAAAGCTACATTAATTAATTAAATAAAAATATTCCGACGAAAAACGAGTCATTTGTTATGACTTTCAAAATTCTGCCCCTCCATCCATCCATCTGAATTCTGACAAAAAATAAACATGGAGAAGAAGAAAAAACAAGCATGAAAAAAGCAACGGAAATGGACAACCCTCAAAGGTCTCATATGTCCGTCTACGACGACGTTTTTCGTGCCCCCCGGAAGTTCGACATCCCCACACTCGCCCCGCGCCTCCAGGATTATTCCGAGATTTTCGCTCACGCCTCCCGATCTTCCTCCATTCCTTTCCTCCGTCTCCCTCTCATCTCCGACGACTACTCCCTCCGTAGCCCCGCTTTCGACTATACTGAGGTTTTTGGGGATTTTCGAGGCCTCGCTGTTACGGCGACGTTTCACGATTTACTAGGCCAGTCCAGCGGTGGTTACGACGACGACGACAACAACGAAGAAGAAGAAGAAGAAGAAGAAGAAGAAGAAGAAGAAGAATCCTCTCATGACCCATGGTATGTAATGTACTCAGCACTACTCTTTTTTCTTCATAGCACACTATTCTTTTTCATCACTGTAAACAAGTAAATGTGTATGGATTTTATTTGATTTTTGCTTGTTAGAGGAGGAACTACTGTGTGTGTACGCTGCTCAAATTGGTTGTTAAGTACTTGGGCTTCTTCATAAGCAAACCAATCAGAACAAAATGCCTAGTTGCTATTATATTTTCACTTTTTCATTCACTGGCGAAGAAGAATGTAAATGATTTTTTTTTTTTGATTACGGCCTACTCTCTTGTCACAGGAGTCCTTCACAAAGTGGGTGTCTGTCAGTGTCAGATGAATTAGATCCTATCAATGGATCTGACGTTGATGTGCACCAGTCACTGGAAACCGTTAACAAGTTAAATGCATCTTATAGCAATTCCGTTCAGATGAATACGGAAACAGTGTTAACTGGGACCGCTCGTGTAACCAATTTCTGTGCTGTTCCTGGATATACTTTTTCTCCTTGTCAAAGTTCAGTTTCATGGAATGGGGAAGACGAGCATTGCTCTGTAGATCTCAGCCCTTTGGAGAAACCTGGAAATTCTATTTCTCCAAAGGATAATAATAAATCATTTATAACCGTATCTGATATTAGTCTTCGAACTAAGCCTTCTAGATTGCCACCTCCTTCAAGACCTCCACCTGCCTTAGTTGTTGAGAACAGAGAATTTGACAGACCAAACTCAAAACTGAAGCCTTCTAAAATTAATGCCTTTGACAGAGTGGCAGATGACAGTGCATCACTTTTCTTTGATGTGGAAGTGGATGAAAATAAGAATGCTAAAGTGAAGTACGAAGAAACCTCAGTCCCAGTACCTGGGGATGTTGCATGGAAGGAAGAAACAAAATATTTCGAGGTCTTTGAAAAAAATATTTCCAGGCAAGGTTTTGATATGGTTGAGGATTACAATACTTCGACAAGGCTTATGAATCGAGATTCTTATAGACATCGGAGGATGTTAGAATGTGACGTATTTAACCAGAAGGAAGACAGTATGAAACTTAAAGTGACAAAGGAAGCTCCTAAATGGGATGAAGAAAGTAATCAACTTGAAATGACCACAGATCATTGTGAACGAGGTCACAAGCAACAACAGGAAATGCAAAACACAAGGTTGATTGGTCAAAAAGGGTTTCAGGAGAATGTAAAACTGAGCAAACTGGCTGATTTTGATACGACAATACCAGAAAATTTCCTGCAACTTGGGGATAGTGAAAAGCTAGAAATAAAACACATTGATGAAACTGTAGAAGGGCGGAAAGAATCTAAGTGCAATGTGACTGCTGGGGAAGCTAAATTAAGACTGAAGGCATCACCTACGAGAATGGATATTCAGAAAAGGTCTGTAGATGCTCAGGTAATAAAACAGAGTAGTGGGGAAGACAAACAAAATATTTTGAGGGAAGAATGTCAAAGAAGTCATGAAGATGTGAAAGGAGCTGAGACCAGAGAAAGAATAAAGAAGACAACAGAACGTGAAGGAGCTGAGAAACAACACAATGGGGTTACTGGAAATGAAAAGGAGAGCAAACTGAAAGTGACACACGAGCTGAATGAGAATGGTGTGATCCTTAAAGAGGCTAATGTAGAGAGTGTCAACAAGCCATGTATAGCTGCTGCACATGAAAAAAATGTATTGACTTTTAGAGAAGCTCTTCAACAGGTCAGAAATGAGAAAGAAATCAAACTGATTCATAATAAGAGAGAGGTATCTGAAGACAGAAATAGAGATGCTTCAAAAACAAAACACAATGATGCTGCTGAATATGAAGAACTGGAAATTGAGTGGAATGGACACGCGAGAGAAGTAAAATGGGACCTGGATGGGCATGTCCTCCTGGAAGGGGATCAATTGAAGGTATTTGATGGTGGGTGTGAACTTAACGAGATGACAAAAAATGAGGTTTTGGGAAAGCACGATACTGTTCAGATGCGGGAATTATCTCAAGCAGCATTTTCATATGAAGGAAACAGGTGCTCGAGAAATGAAGCTAACAATATTGTATATGAATCTGAGGCTGGAAAGGATGATACACTGGTCAAAGGGAATTGCAGCAAAATTAGTAAGAATAAAGATGAGTTACAAGATGGAAACACTCACACCCATAGTGCGGTAAACAACGCGATGGAGTTCCTTTGTTTACATAACCAAATGAGGGATTCAAATAATTGTGCCTATGGTATGGGGGTTTCATCTGATTTGACAGAGAAGAAATCATCTGAAGTGGAAGAGAGTCATGAGCCTGAGAAGATAGGCTCAAGTAAAGATGATGGAGGTCAAAAGATGAAAACTCAATTTATCAGCAAAAGGGTAGACACAGTGATCAGAGAGTCTCTCGTAAAAGGAGGGAAGGTAGATGATGCATCATCTGTCTTGCTAGAAAATAGCAATAGCCAAAAAATTGAAAGAAAAGACAAGAATATTAAAGACAGTATTGCTGCAAAAGACCGAACAGTGGAGGAAAGAGTAAGAAGGCAAAGTGAGCTGGAAAACGAACAGATGAGAAAAGTAGAAGAAGAAAGGGAGCGGGAAAGGGAAAGAGAAAAGGACAGAATGGCTGTTAATAAGGCAGCTGTTGAAGCTCGTGAAAGATCATATATAGAAGCTCGTGAGAGAGCAGAGAGAGCTAATGCTGAAGTAAGACAAAGAGCCATGACAGGGGCTCGTGAAAGATTGGACAAGACATCCATGGATGCTAGAATCAGGGTTGAGCGGGCTGCCGTAAAAAGAGCCAATGCAGAGGCTCGACATCGAGCTGCTGAAAAATCAATGGCTCAGAATGGTTTACCATACTCATCTTCCTTGCCACATTTTGGTATGCGATTGATGTTTACTTAAGGAATTATTTTTTGCTGCCGCTGGAATGTGCTTTTGCATGTTCTTTGTTTTTATTTTTTTATATCTTACTATACATATAGTATTTTTTCACTTTGTACATGATGATATATAGTGCTTTAGAGCGTTTTTTCTTAGAAATATTTAAATTTCACAGTGTCTGAAGGTGAATCACCTCAGAGATGTAAAGCTAGATTAGAGAGATACAAAAGAACAGCTGAGCGTGCAGTATGTGCCTTCTTTTTTATTCTATTTCACTTCTTATTATTTTGGATTTATCTTTTAATTAACCCTATCGGAAATGTTAAACTATGTTAACATGATTTCAGGCAAATGCCCTGGCTGAGAAAAACAGCCGTGATCTTCTCGCTCAAAGGGAAACAGAAGAGAGAAATGTATGGTTCATTCTTCTTCTGTCGGATTGTTGTCTATTATCTAAGTTTGCATATTATCTATCTTATAAAAACTACGTTTGCAGAGAGTTGCAGAATCTCTGGATGCTGAACTCAAGAGATGGTCGAGCGGAAAAGAGCGAAACCTTCGAGCGCTGCTTTCAACTTTGCAATATGTATCTTCTTTCACCTTACTTATATGTGTAAATTGAGCATGTGATTTGCTTCTCATTTATGGATCAATATTGATCGTGCTGATGCTAAATGCTAAGTAATTCGCTTTTAGTGAATGGTTGTTACATTTATCCCATTCATCGACAGATTCTTGGGCCTGATAGTGGTTGGCAGCCAGTTCCATTGACTGAAGTTATAACTACCGCGGCCGTGAAAAAAGCTTACAGGAAAGCCACTCTTTTTGTACACCCAGACAAACTACAACAACGTGGTGCAACAATTCAGCAAAAGTACATATGTGAGAAGGTTTTTGATCTTTTAAAGGTTTGTGGCCAGTAAATTGTTATGTATCAGAATTATTAATGCCTTATGTTTAGTTCATTATTGGTTTGTGGCTCAACGTAAAACATTTTTAATGATTCGAATGCATTACCTGTAAGTAACATATGTTATCTTTGTATCTTAGGAAGCTTGGAATAAGTTCAATTCAGAGGAGCGGTGAATCGGGGCATTTTGTCTGCTCGGTGTAAAGTTAGTGCAAGTAAAGTATTTGCTTATTTTTATCATCTGCTAAGTCATTTTGTACTTGCAAAAGCTAACAAAGTTAGGCGGAAAATATATTGAGGAAAAACTAAGTTATATGGACATCAATACAGTAATATGGTCTTCCATACAGAAGCACTTGAAGCAAGAAAGCTTGATATTTGTCTTTTGTTCTGTTTTTTACTGCCCTTTTTTTTTCTCCATTGGTGTGGTTTTTGAGTGGAATTTGGGACAATACTTGTTCGTATATGTCGATAGAAACCTCGTATCTCCCGTTTACTGGTAAACTCACACTCCTAATCTACACAACTTAAGAAATGTAGTGATATGCCACTGTCTTAGATTTGTATATTTTATATTTTGATCTGAGGTAAATATGCAGCCAGCAATATATGTAAGTTTGAAGTAAATGTTGGCTCAATAAATCTTATTGTTTTACACACTTTTTGCAATTTATTCCTTAATTTGCCATTTTTTTTTTTTCGTGGTCAATAAAGAAAGTGGCCATAATTTGTGGAAAAGTTGGTCTAACGATAAAACAGTAAAGGTCCCATATCAATTTAATTAATTAATTCCTCAGAATATATTATGTGTAAACTTTTGTATACAGTTAAATCCACTTTCTTAAAAAAAAAAATTATCTGGCCTTAAGCCTTGTTGAAGAGACAAATTAAATAGGGTAAATAGCACTTAACCCCCCTGTGGTTTGGATATTTTGCATATGACACCTTTATGGTATAAAATTAGGCACATAACCCCCTTGTGGTTTTGACATTTTGCACATGACCCCCTTATGGTATGAAATTAGGCATATAACCCCCTTGTGGTTTTGACATTTTGCACATTACCACCTTATGGTATGAAATTAGGCACATAACCCCCTCGAATTAATAGAAAACTGGAAAAGACTAAATTACCCCTGAAGAATAAAGACTTTGTTTCTTAAAAAATTAAAATTCGATAACAATGATAGAATAATATATTATATAGAAAATAGTACATAATAATTATAATTAATAATAATATTAAAGCTTTGAAATATGTAGAATTATTTCAGCGAATTATAATTGAACAAAGAAATTGATAGTTCATAATTTTATATTAAGTTTAACCGTTTTATATTTGATTTGTAGCATATGAGATTTTCAAATTGGTTTCTAAAATTGAATAACTTGTCAATCGTACAATAATTAGTATTATATACATTTTGTGTTGTAAAATTAAAAAAAACACAATAATATATTATATTTCTCATTTTACAAAAAAATACATTAAACTTTTCATTTTATAGAATAATTGTTATTAGATTAAAATAGGAAATTTTTGACTTGATAGGGTAACCAACGAATAGTTGGTATGGTTGCAATTTGGGATAAATTTTAGGGGTATTTAGTCTTTTCTATTTTCTATTCAAGGGTTAAGTGCTATTTACCCAATTAAATAACGCATGCAACTTTCAGGTCTAGATATGCAAACTAGTGATTCTAAATTATTTAATTATTTATTTGATGTGTCTAATCATAATTAGGCCCATAAACCTAATTAAGATTAGGCCCAAATTGCCCTAAATTAATCTAATTGTGTGAAAACTCAATTAGATTACTTTTTACCTATAAAAGTAACAACACATTGTCCCACATCGGATTTTTACAAAAAGTCCTACCTATTCATCCACCTATAAATGTATGTGTCATTTCACATAGAAAGGTACACTCTAATTTGGCAATTAATAATTATTATTTGCTTATATTAATACATCTTCTGACTTGAGCGTCGGAGGATAATCGTCGGGCCAAACCCGGCGTGTCATCTAGTGTTTCAATTGTTTTGTAGGTTAACGAACGGAGCAATCCCTTCGACTACCTCGGACACGTGGCAGTGACTCACGGCATTCTCTATCTTTGTGGGCTCAAGGACACTTGGGTTGCCCAATTGGCATTTGAGCAGCATCATTTTGGCGCCGTCTGTGGGAATGCAGACTCGATCACGTGACACGGGAGGAGGTGGTCAAGGTAGCCTTAATCCGCCCCAACAAGGAGCCGGCGGTGGGATCCCGGATCCGCCTCGAAGAAAGAGGACGGCGGGAACAACCAACGCGGCGGGACCTTCAGTGCCGATCATCCAAATGACGACGGAAGAGTTGCAAGCAATGATGGACGAGACCGCGGCCAAGGCAGCGGCTTGGGCAGCGGCGGACGCAGTAGCTCAGTACATTAGCGCCCAAGGCCATAGTGATTTCGAAGAGCCGATTCTTTCAGAGAGCGACCCCTCGGAACCCGCTCACGTCCACGGGACCCCGCCCATCGTAGAACTCCACGACTCTGAGGAGAGGGTATCGCTTAGCGACCGAAGCATTTCTTCAGAACGGGCTCCCCGTAGGTATGCCCCGCCCCGGTCGCATCAGCATAGCTCAGCCTCGGACCAGGCTCCTCGAGGAGAGACGCGCGGTCGGTCACCACGGCCCCTTAAGCAACGGGCTCCTTCAAGGGAGAGAGCGGCGCGAGGCCGCCGAGAAAGAAGTGGATCCTCTCGGCCAAGTGTGACACGCCATGAGCCTCGAGGCGATAGGCATCGCGGACGATCCTTTCGCCGAGGCAACTCCCCACGAGACGAACATGGGAGTAGGTACACTCGGGCTGAAGAGACGAGAAGGCACCGCGAGAATGGTAACAAGCGTAATTCGAGAAGCCCGCGACAAGAAGCTTCAAGATCAACCGCTCGATTTGGAACGCTCCCCGCCCGAATAAGCCCTTTTATTCCGGCTATCATGGAGGAAGTTTTACCGCTCGGATTTAGGATCCCCAATCTGCCCCAATTCGATGGAACCGGAGATCCTCAAACTCACCTTAACAATTTCTTCACTAAGATCGACCTTTACGGCCTCAGTGATGCCGCCTACTGCAAAATCTTCCAAACTACCTTAACTGATCAAGCACAAACTTGGTTCAACGGTCTGCCAGGAGGATCATTGGATGGCCTGGGCCAGTTATCGGAACGTTTCCTTAGCCAGTATTCCATCAACAAGCGATACGCCAAAACCGGATCATACCTCTTCAAAGTCAAACAACGCGAGGGAGAACCATTGAGAGACTATGTACAGCGGTTTGTCAAAGCGGTGCACGAGGTACCCAATGTTAACCACGACCTACTAGCCGATATACTGCAACATAACTTGAGGCACGTTCGCTTCCAAGAATCCATAGCAGGACGACCCCCACAAACTCTGGAGGAGCTTCTGAACCGAGCGGAGAAGTTCATCCGGATAGAAGAGGCCGTAGAGATGGGACTTCCCGTGAAAAGGAAGCGCGAAGAAGAGCGCCATGAGGCAAAAAGGAAGGAAGAAGGACGTTCGATCCACGCCCCTACCTACCCAAAGTTTACTCCCCTAAAAGCAAAACTCATGGAAGTATGGATGGTAGCGGAGCAGAAAGGTCTAGTCCAGCCCCCGAGACAGATGAAAGAAAATCCGAAAAGGCAAAAATCGGAAAAATACTGCGAGTACCATCGAGATCGGGGACACACTACCGACGAGTGCTTCCAACTAAAGTAAGAAATCGAGAGGCTAATTAAAAAAGGGCACCTGGGAGAATTCGTGGATGCGCCACGACACCAAAAATTCCAAAACAAACCCCGCTTCCAGCATAAAGGAGAACGTCCCAACCCTAGGAAAGATCGAGAGGATGACAATCTTCCAACTCAAGGAATAATTGCAGTTATTTCCGGAGGACCCTCGGGCGGTGACACTCCTAGCTCACGACGAGCATCAATTCGGGCAGCAAGAGGCTCGTATTCTACGACAGAACGTCCAGAGGGACATATTTACCACGTTCACCACCCAAACTCAGAGGTTACATTTAGCGACGACGATCTCAGAGGACCACGTGGTGAACACAACGACGCTTTAGTCATCTCTGCATCAATTTCTAATTATTTGGTGAAGAAGATTTTGGTGGACGGTGGTAGCTCGGCTGATATTATATATTACGACGCCTTCTAAAAACTAGGGATTGCCAATGCAAAACTCGCGCCTGTGAAAACACCCCTAGTAGGTTTTACGGGACACGCCGTCGAAGCTGTGGGAGAAATTTCCTTAGTCTTGTCCTTGGGATCATTCCCGTGCCGAGCTACAAACACGGTCAACTTCCTAGTCGTCAAAGCACCGTCGACTTATAACGTCATTTTGGGGCGGCCGAGTATGAACCTTTTCAGAGCAGTCCCGTCAACCTATCATATGAAGTTGAAGTTTCCTACGGCTAGCGGAGTCGGAGAAGCCGTAGGCGATCAACGCATAGCTCGAGAATGCTATGCGAACACTTTGAAGGCACCTCAGGTTCGGAACACAAAGCAAGTGGGAGGAGGAGATGACACTCCCAATTATCTGAAGAGAAAATGGGTGATGGCTGTCAAAGACGACTTCATCACTCCCTCGACCAATCAAGATGCCGATAGCACAAGACTCGCAGCAGTAGAAGAACTGAAAAGTGTAGAGTTGATCCCGGGCAATCAAGACAAACTACTCCGAGTGGGAACCAACCTTGAGCCCGAAGCAGAAACAAGGCTCGTGGAGTTCCTTCGGAAAAACGGTGATGTTTTTGCATGGAGAGCGGAAGATCTCGAAGGAATTCCCCCATCTAAAATTGTTCATCGGCTTGACGTTGACCCGAAACTCAAGCCGGTAAAACAAAAGAAAAGGACTTTTGGCCCGGAACGTAATAAACACATCAAAGAGGAGGTCGACAAACTCCTTGCGGCTGGTCAAATACGTCCGGTTCAATATCCCGAATGGTTGTCAAATGTTGTCCTAGTGGCGAAATCAGGGGGAAAATGGCGCTTATGTGTGGATTTCACTAACCTGAACAAAGCTTGTCCTAAAGATCCTTTCCCTCTCCCAAGAATCGATCAGCTGGTGGATTCTACCTCAGGATGTGAGTTGTTAAGCTTTTTAGACGCATACCAAGGGTACAACCAGATCCAACTGGCCCCTGAGGACCAAGAGAAAGCGAGTTTCATTACCGACCAAGGCATTTATTGCTACAAGGTAATGCCATTCGGCCTAAAAAACGCAGGAGCAACCTATCAACGACTGGTGAACACCATGTTCGCTAATCTAATTGGGCGTAACATGGAAGTGTATATCGATGATATGTTAGTTAAAAGCGCTAAGGCCGAAAACCACTTGAAGGACCTCGAAGAGTGCTTCGCTATTCTCAGAGAATACAAAATGAAACTAAATCCTTCGAAATGCTCCTTCGGAGTGAAGGGCGGCAAATTCCTAGGCTATATGATCTCGCAACGAGGAATCGAAGCAAAACCGGCCAAGATTGATGCCCTGATCAACATGGCCCCACCTAAATCCATAA